GGCTTTTGTAGTGAAACTCCTTTGCTTCATGCATGCAAGACACAGCTATTTCCATTTGTAACCCTCCTAATGATTTTCTACCCCTGCCACTCTCTTTTTGACTTGGCACAGAAAATCCATTAAGGAGGTAACGAGAGAAGAGCTGCGCAGTGTCTATTGATCAGTAAAGCGAGGAGCCATCCATCTGGAAGCATCCTACACGTCGGTATTTAACAGCTACGAGAGACTCAGAGACTCACTTGCAAGAGGTTTCCGTTGGTGGCTCTCCTCCCCACAAAGAATGGGGGGTGACCTGTGCCAGCTGCTGCTTGAGGGGACTTTTGATGGGTTTATTGGGAGCCAGGAAGCTTAAATTTGTGCTCCTGGCAGAAGGACATAATTCAGGTAGGACCGGCTGGACAGCCATTGACCTTTGCCTATTGTACAAAATTACTTTCCAGCTATTCCTGTGCAGGGCAGGGAGTGAGAAAAGGAGGCAACAGGACTGTGGAAAACAGCAGAGCAAACCTGGCTAGATTGCCATGGAAAAGAGGTGCTCTCGATTCTTCAGCGGTCAAACATGGTTTGGTCTTTCCAGAGCCTGGGATATTTCATCGAATCACAGAATAACAGAGTTGGAAGGGGCCCCTAAGGCCATTGAGTCCAACCCCCTGCTCTGTGCAGGAACCCAAGTTAAATTATATCCGACAGACGGTTGTCAATTTTCTCTTCAAAGTCTCCAGCGTTGAAGTGCTCACCACCTCCCGAGGTCATTGGTTCCATTGATGTACTGCTCTTACGAGTTAAGACGTTTTCCCTGATATTCAGCCTAAATCTGGCTTCCTGTAGCTTGAGCCCACGGTTGCGTGTCCTGAACTCTTGAATGATCGAGAACAGACCCTGCCCCTCCTCTGTGTGACTGCCTTGTTGAGTGTATTCGTGCCTACGAGGGCGCACACACTCAACCAAGAAAGTCTTTGCTGGCGCCAAAGGTGCTGATGCGGTCATTCCAATGGGTAACTAGCCACTCCTGGCTCTTCATTTCTCTCTGGGACAACATGACATTTAAAAAGTGATAGGAAGGTTTGTGCAGAAATGAGCAACCTTCAACCCCCCCAGTCCCATTTTGATGGGTCCTGAGCCCCCCCAGCCCCCCCCCGCATACCCCCACATTTTAAAAGCTCCTTGTATGAGGTATGGGTGGCAATTTTTCCTTGTTTTCCAGGGCACCCAGGAAAATATTTATTTTAATATTTTAAAAAAATAAACGTTGAAAACAATTTTCTCTTTCCCACTAAAAAGCAAAAGGAGTCTCTCTTTTTTTCCTCAGTTAAAAGAGCCTCATTCTGGTCTATAAGCACATGCTCCAATTAGCAAAAACTTAACGGTAGCAGTAGTTGTAGTACATAACCACTGCACTGGATAGAGTTAAAAAATTGAATACACCCATTTGTTTCTACAACGACGACACTCCCTTAGCTCCACTCTCACACTGTCAGCAGATCTGAAAAATGGGTTCTTTGTCCTGCTGCCATGGGCCACCCCCCGCTCCAGTTGACCCATAAGGTGGTTGGCAAGTTCACACCACTGTTGAGAATTCATTTTTGTGAGCAGATTTCCTCAATCTGTGCTGCTGGCCATCTTCTAGAACCACTTTGACATGTTGCTTTCTACAGCCTTACTCCGGCCTCTTCCAAACTTGGGTCTCCAGCATCCCTATTCACTGGAAAATGGGAGTGGTAGTCCAACAAGTCTAGGGACTTCAGACTTTGAAGGGCTATCTGTGCAGGATTAGACTTTAATTCCCTTTTGATGAATTTGCTCACAGAGTATCAGAGGCCTGGCTCTACAATCTGTTGCCTTCAGATGGTCTTCTCTGTAGGGGTACCTAAGTTGTGTATCTCTTTTCTCCATGAAGACCAAACTAGCTTTCATGCATATATATATATACACGTACATACATACATATACAGTGGTGCCTCGCATAACGAGCACACCGTTTAACGATGAGTTCGCATAGCGATACCTTTTTTGGGATCGCTAATGCGATCGCATACCAATGGTTCCAATGGGCAAAACTTGCATTGCAATGATCGGTAAGTGTTTCGCTTACCGATCTTCGCATTGCGATGTCGGGGAATCAGCTGTTCGGCGGTTCCAAAATGGCCGTCGGAACACCCAAAATGGCTGCCCGCATTGTTTTTGCGCCCTGCCCTCGCTTACCGAGGGCGCGAAAATGGCGGCGCTATGGGGAAACTTCGCACAACTGTGAGTTTTAGAGCGATAGGAACGCATTAGTTTCTATGGCGTTTTCTGTCCCGTATAGCGATGTTTCCCCATAACAATTGTTAATCCGGAACGGATTAACCTCGCTGTGCGGGGCACCACTGTGTGTGTGTGTGTGTGTGTGTGTGTGTGTGTGTGTGTGTGTGTCTACCGGTACCTGAATACTAACAAGATAAAGTCTGCAGTGTCTTCATTTATCAGAGCTCTCCCTGGTTTTCATGCAACTGCTGCTTGGCTGGCTTCCAAGCAGGGTTCCCTGGGGATTTCCCCACACGCCGGAACACCCAAAATGACTGCCCGCATTGTTTTTGCGCCCTGCCCTCGTTTACCGAGGGCGTGAAAATGGCGGCGCTATGGGGAAACTTCGCACAACTGTGAGTTTTAGAGCGACAGGAACGCATTAGTTTCTATGGCGTTTTCTGTCCCGTATAGCGATGTTTTTAATCTGGAACGGATTAACCTCGCTATGCGGGGCACCACTGTGTGTGTGTGTATATATATATATACACACACACACACACATATATATACATATACACACACACACACACACATACACACACACACACACACAGCTAACAAACTAAAGAAATACATATGAACTGTCAGATGCATAATTCCCAGCATTTAATATGGCAAAGACAGAAGTTGTTTCCCATCAACAAAGTGGTTGAGTACATAAAGAATTTGTCTCCAGAAAGGAAAATATATATATACATATACACAGATAAGATGACAAGTATTTCATATGGGTGAACATAATACTCCTCTTCCAGTTTCATAAGAAAGCATCAGTTTGGCGTTACATGTTGATCACCTGAAGTTAGCTTGAACTCTCTTTAATGAACATAGAAATGGCAGACATTGCAGGGGGAAGTAACTGCTTTTTCAGTTATTATTTTAGAGGCTAGCACATTAGGAACACACCCCTGTTTCAAATAAGAGCTTGGCTTCCAGACGGTTTCAAGGAGCATTAATCTGTTCTAAAGCATGACAGGCCTTCCTCACACATCAAGTCTGAATCTCTGAATGGCAAAAAAATTGAGGGTTTTCTCTCTTCCATTGCTGCTCTGCCAGATTCCAGCAGTGCTGGGGTCTACAGAAGGAAAAAAAACACATGCAATTAGCATGGTGCCAATGCCTGATTTTTTAAAACAACAACAACAACAACAACAACCTGTATTGCACTTTTTAGTGACACAAAACGAAGATTTACCTTTCTTTTTTAAAAAGTATTTTTTTTAAAAAAAAACAACAACCTGTTTTGCACTTTTTGGTGACACAACACGAAGATTTACCTTTCTTTTTTAAAAAGTACATTTCTGCCTGCAGCTACTACTAAAGATCAAAGCACCTGTTAGTCCATGTCTGCATGAACTAGGTTAGAAAGAAAACAAAACAAAACAAACCCATACTGATGCATTTTAAGATATTCCAACAGAACCTGTATGCACCAAGAGGACTCTCAGATTCATAGCAAACAAACACATTTATAAACGATTTCCCTAAAATAGCCAAGAAACTCCATAGATAACAAAAAAAAGATATGCTTCCTGGTCAAGAAGTGCTTTAAAGCCAGATTCCCAGAAACCCAGAGGGCTTGAAGTTTTCAATTATCGTGGCACAATATTCCAAGACATTTCTCCTGAAAGATCCACCTCGCTCAATATTGTCCTGTGCTAATCCTTTCACAGACGCCTCTCAGCCTGATGCTCACGTCCCCCATGCACTGTTTCTTCAAGAGTTATTGCTAAACAAAACTAATGTAACTGGTGGATGCAGAAGAGGTTTTATGACCTGGATGAAATCAAGCTGTTCAGGTAACAAGGAAGATATAGATCAGAGGATCAGGCAGATCGGAAATCAGACGGAAGCAACCAGGGCAAAAGGGAGACGAATGTGGAATCTCAACGTTCTTTGGCAAGGAAAGGCGGATCAAGCAAAATGTTCTGTGTGCTCAGTCAAGGGAAACGATCAGAGACTGTTTTATAAGGAAATAAGTCGGTCCAGAAGCCGGAAACTAATAGAAAGCCAATGAAAGAGCGGAGACTATTTTAAGCTACTGAAAATAGAGGAATCAAATGTCAACGTTTTTAGAAACCTTCTTTTAAGCAAGAGAGTTATAGGTCTTGGCTGAAAAAAATGTGGGGAGCACCCAAATATGAAAATTGCCTTCTGCAGGCACCACCTCAAGCCTGTACCTCTCCTTTGGCCCAGTCCAATACTACGTATCTGAAAGCCACAAAGACCGATGGAAGGCCAAAGAAGGGGGAAAGAACTTTTTGGATCTGCTGGCTAGGATATTCTGGGACCTTTTTTCATCTCTGCAAATGGCTGCTGGAACAGAAGAGTACTTGATGGACATCTATGTGGTGGCCAAGAAAGAAAAAGCCTATCAACCTCTCTTTGGTAGGCTTCAATATCTCTCTGCTCCCGTCCTATGAACAGCAGAGAAATTCATTGCAGAAATGGAATGGCTGTTCCATAACACGGCCCTCAACAGTTCCAATTCTGGGAACGGGACATCAAGCAGATGGACGCCTAGTAGAACATGTCTGGAACCTAGGGAAGAAGAAATAGTCTTGGGTGGAATCATTCCAGGAGAATACCCCTCCCCTCAAAATTTGTCCCTGGTCCTTACTCGAGTAGCAACCTTTTTTAAAGTGGCGACAGGCTGACCATGCAGTTTTGCTTACGATAATGAAGAACTAATTAGCTCTACAATGGAAAGCGGAGAAAACCCAGACAGATCTTCTAGTTTATGTTGTGTTCCGCCATGCAAAAATGGGCTCGTATTGATCAGGATGAGAAGTATCTTTCGTTCTTTTCCACTGAAAAACAAAGTCTGTGCATGACAGCATCCTATTGGCGAACAGATGTTCTCTCTTCACATTTTAAGAGAACCACTGTCAAGATTGTGGAAATGTCTTAGTGTCTGCACCCACCTGTGCAGGTACACATCTGCGTACACATGCTTAATGCACCAGGTGGCCAGCTCATGGCCTTCTTGGTGTTGCCAGACTACAACTCCCACCATTCTCAGCTCTACTGGCTGAGGATGATGGGTCCTGCAGTTCGGCAACACGCAAAGCGCTACATATTGCCTGTTGCCGTATTATGGCAAGATCCGCTTTCCACTGAAGTGGTTGGGGAAAGAAGAAGCGAGATGTAGCAAAAAAAATAATTCCCTTCTCATTGGAAAATTGGCTGCCTAGAATTCACTGCCCAGAAAAAAAAAACATTTGGGGACTCTCTCTCCCTGGGAGAAAAAAGTGGGGGAGCTTTATTGCAAATTAAGATTATTTAGTGCAATTGTTATCATCAGTGGCAAGTCTCATCTTCACAGTTGCCTATGTCTCACAAACAAAACAAAAATCACATCATCACCACCGCCACCACCGAGCACACAAGAACATGGGATTAATCACTTCGGCATAGTTCGTAAACGAGTCCCAAGCTTTCTCATGGCGAGGAAATGATTTTGCCGGCAGGAAACCACACAATCTCAGACGTGTTAGGTGCAAGTGAAAAAAAACCACACACCACTCCATCTAGTTTAATGTTTACAGCAGAAAGCTTCTTGGATGAACAAAAGGGTTGTGCTTCATCTTCCAGGGCCTGGGATTAGCCTAGCATCCTGAGGAATGTGTTACAAGGACCCAGACTTGTAATTGAAAAAAGCAACAGCATTGAAATCTGAAAAGCAAAGTCCAGGGGAAAAAAATATATTCTCCAGGCCTTTCAGTCGCTGGTGCCCAGGAACAGAACAGTCAAGTCTGTGGGTGACTTTGGATTGCCTCTTGTTAAATCCATCAAGACTGATTTGAAAGAAATTCTTTGAAAGAATTGAAAATTTGGATTTCACTGATTCAAAGCAGCAGTTCTTCAGCTCTGCTTTGCCGTGGCCGGTCTTGGAAAGTTCTTTGGTTCAGACAGGCCTTCTGGGGCAGCCTCACCTGAGGGAAGAAGAAAAACAAAACAGGGTGGAATTAGCACAACCAGAAAAGTGAGCATCCTGAAAATCAAGAGGGTGCAAACCAGCGAAGACCAGCAGTTGGAAGAGTTATTTTTTGGGGGGGCGATAATCTCAGGGATTCCCAGTGAGATTATGGTGAGACCTGGGGGATCCCGTCCGTCATGGGGAGGAAATCCTGAGCTTCAGCTTCAGTTCTTGAACGATAGGCCCATGAAGGAACAAAATGAAACTATCCGAGGCATCTTGCGATTCTGGACCAGGGTGTGGACAAGTTCCTTTTGTAGACTCTTTAAAAAGGGGGACTTGCAGGGCCTGAATTAGCTGCCATTTATGAAACAAGGAGTGAATGCTGGCACCATGCACTCTTCCTTTCCTCCCACTATGGCAGAGCAGGGATGGCTTGTTTAAATCAGAGCACCCCATGACATCTGGAACAGGGGAAACCCTTTGTTGTTGTTGTTGTTGTTGTTGTTGTTGTTGTTGTTGTTGTTGTTAAGTCATGTCCGACTCTTCGTGACCCCATGGACCAGAGCACGCCAGGCCCTCCTGTCTTCCACTGCTTGTATTGATGACATTGTTCAACCATCTCATCCTCTCCTCTTGCCTTCACATTTCTCCAACATCAGGGTCTTTTCCAGGGAGTCTTCTCTTCTCATGAGATGGCCAAAGTATTGGAGCCTCAGCTTCAGGATCTGTCCTTCCAGGGAGCACTCAGGGTTGATTTCCTTCAAAATGGATAGGTTTGCTCTCCTTGCAGGAGAACTGTGTAGGAAAGCTCATCCCAGCTTCCTTCCTCCCAGCCATTTCCCCTTCCGCCCAGAGCAATACACTCTGCCTCTAGCGCATCTCCTGCTCCTCCATCAAACCATTCTGTGTCAGGCAGAAGAAAAATGAAGAAAAACCAGGTGTCATCCTTGTGTATTTATGTTGACCTCACCCTTCTCCATCTAATCATGTCAACAGTATTGAGTGTCTGCGTTCTGAACCCTTAAATAACCTTTCCCTTCGATTCTTACTTGGTGTCAGCTTTTTGTTCCCAACTCTTGAACCCAAGACTCTCTTTCTGCCTCTTTCTTCCTCTCCGGTGCCACTGCAATCCAGACAGCACCTCCCACTCTCTTTCTCTCAGCCAATCTCCATCCCTAGGCAAATGAGCAGCCTCTGCCAATCGTATTCCATACCTGTCAGTGATCCTTCCTCCACCCAACCCCTGGAGCTGCTCACTGTATTCTCCTAGAAAACAGATACACCAAGTCATAGGATCCTGTATTGCAGTTTATTAGAGCATCACAGCTCATCTCTGGAAGAAGCTGCCTGAACCTCAGACTTGAGCTCTCAGTTTTCCAGGAGGTTTGGAGCCAGCACTTTCCCTGCTTGCATGCCGACTTGTTTTGACTTGCTTTCTTCGGCTCTATGATCACGGCAGATGGGGACAGCAGCCACGAAATTAAAAGACGCCTGCTTCTTGGGAGGAAAGCGATGAGAAACCTCGACAGCATCTTAAAAAGCAGAGACATCACCTTGCCAACAAAAGTCTGAATAGTCAAAGCTATGGTTTTTCCTGTAGTGATGTATGGAAGTGAGAGCTGGACCATAAAGAAAGCTGACCGCCGAAGAATTGATGCATCTGAATTGTGGTGCTGGAGGAGGCTCTTGAGAGTCTCCTGGACTGCAAGGAGAACAAACCTATCCATTCTGAAGGAAATCAACCCTGAGTACTCACTGGAAGGACAGATCCTGAAGCTGAGGCTCCAATACTTTGGCCATCTCATGAGAAGAGAAGACTCCCTGGAAAAGACCCTGATGTTGGAGAAATGTGAAGGCAAGAGGAGAGGAGGCAGTGGAAGATAGGAGGGCCTGGTACAACCAACATGAGTTTGACACAATTCCGGGAGGCAGTGGAAGATAGGAGGGCCTGGCGTGCTCTGGTCCATGTGATCACGGAGAGTCGGACACGACTAAATGAACAAACGAACAAATGTGTGTAGTAAAAAAGGCAATATACCCAAGTCTGTAATTTCAAGCAACTGTAAGTAAAGGAACATCCTTTTTCTTTTTCTCATAAATGTCTCAGAGTGAGACTGGTGGACTCTGGAGAACTCATCAATATTCTCCTATGTGATCTTTGTACTTCTACTGTGTAGCAAAAGGCAGTTTTACCAGAAATGCAAAACTCTGCAACAATTATGAGGAACCAAGATCTCAAAAGATCAAGGGCAAGCTTTGAACTCCGGAGAACTCGTCAATATTCTCCTATGTGATCTTTGTACGTCTACTGTGTAGCAAAAGGCAGTGTTACCAAAAATGCAAAACTGTGCAACAATTATGAGGAACCAAGATGTCAAAAGATCAAGGGCAAGCTTTGAACTCCTTCAGAGATCTTCTTCAGACCGAACAGTACACAAAATTAAGTTGTGGGGAGGGGAGGAGGATGAAAAAGAGTCAATATTCTCCTATGTGATCTTTGTACGTCTACTGTGTAGCAAAAGGCAGTGTTACCAAAAATGCAAAACTGTGCAACAATTATGAGGAACCAAGATGTCAAAAGATCAAGGGCAAGCTTTGAACTCCTTCAGAGATCTTCTTCAGACCGAACAGTACACAAAATTAAGTTGTGGGGAGGGGAGGAGGATGAAAAAGAAAGGCCTTGTGTTAACCCCCAAACAAGCGTTGTGTAAAAGAACCAAAACAGAGTAATCTTACCCATACCAAAAAAAGAAAAAGAAAAAAAATCAGTTGCCCCTGATTTGTCAGGGAGCCATAAAAAGGCTCAGGAAAGAACACATCAGGGACCTTGCAGTGGCCTCTATGCCCTGTGGTCACTGGAAAAAGGAGCGAAACAGCCCACCCTCAGACTGGAAACCAAAGAGCAGGGCAAATCCCCACCTATGTGGATCCTCAGATTTAGCAATTACTCAGTTTTGTCCTGTTTATTTCTGACTGTAGATAAACCTGCCTGGATATCCCTTAATTTTACACGCCCTGAGAAAAATGATTCTCCCTGAGAAGCGTTAAGCTCAGGGAAGCGATCGAACGGCGGGAAGGGCGGGCAACAGACTCCACCATAAAAGGTGGCTTCGCAGGGACTGATCTTCCTCCCTTTTGCTCCAAATGGGTCCACCTTTGGGCACGGACTCAGGTTGGGCTAGATCACTATTGCCCATACGTTGTGCAATTGGCAGGAAACGGCTCACACCAGACCAGTGGAACAAGCGGTTCAAACTGTTGATCTTCCTTCCTTCCTTTTGCTCCAAATGGGTCCACCTTTGGGCACGGACTCAGGTTGGGCTAGATCGCTATTGCCCGTACGTTGTGCAGTTGCCGGGAAACAGCTCACACTGGACCAGTGGAACAAGCGGTTCAAACTGCAGGTGATTTCCCTGTGCGATTAGACCCCCCCCCCCACATTCCGATCTTTTTACCTAGGTGAAAAGCAAAAGGTAGGCAGATGTACAGAAATACGGAATCAGCAAGGGCTTCTGACTCCAGATTCTTTAACAGGGAAAAAACTTTCTCTCCTGATCCTGTTGCTGGAAACAACTACTGGTTGAAAGCAGGGGTGGGATCTAGAAGCAAAAAGGCTTGTGAACCCAATTCTGGTTCCAATTACCTGTGTGGCCTTGGCATGCACTCAGAGATGCTCTTGCTTGATCATCAGCATATGCTTCCCAAATATGTGTTAATATTCTGTATCTGGGGCCATGTAGACCCTCAAAGGCCAACCACCCCTGGTAAACCCCGTCGATCACCACCTTCCTCCGCTTATTACCTATATTTGATATCAAACACTGTGGAATCTTCATCCTCATCTTCATCTTCATTTAAGGGGGCCATTTCTACCCGTTCAGCCGGTGTCGTGATGATGTCATACTTGCGGGTTTTTTTCACTTTTCTGCCAGACCTAAAACAGGAAGGGGGGGAAAGAAAACCCACACATTTTAATGTCACAACACCAAAACACTGTGAACTCCTTTCCCGTGGCGAGGGAGAACATTAATTGGCATATTTCATATGTTGCATCACTATCCTGTTTTTTGAGATAGCACACAAGGCTTTCTTCTAGCCCAGTTTCATCCTTCCTACACCCAGGGAGGTGGGTCTGCTCATGGTGATTTTTATGGCTCAGCGAGGATTAGAACACAGATCTCCTACATTGACACAGCAACCATTTCACTGCACGGGCTTCCCTCTGAGAAGACTTCACCTGCCTCTTTTTCTTCATTCTGGTCTGAAAAGTTTCAACAATCTCTCTCTACCAATCTGCCACTCAGTCTGAGACCACCTGCCAAATGTATGCCTTAAAAAAAGGAAATTCAGTGCCATCAATGAATGTGTGCCACTGTCTTAAGAGCAGAGATTTAAACCTGTGTCTGCCTACCTTAGGCCTAATGCTCAGGGGAGAGAATCAATGAATGTGTGCCACTGTCGTAAGAGCAGAGATTTGAACCTGTGTCTGCCTACCTTAGGCCTAATGCTCAACTAAGAGCCTCGTGGCACAGGGGTTAAACTGCAGTACTGCAGCCAAACCTCTGCTCAGGATGCAGGTTCAATCCCAAGTACAGTGGTGCCTCGCATTATGACGTTAATTTGTTCCAGCGAAATCGCTGTAGAACGAAAACGTCGTAATGCGAAATAAAAAAGCCCATAGACAGGCATTAAAACCCAATTAATGCGTTCCTATGGGCTTGAAACTCACCATCCAGTGAAGATCCTCCATAGCGCAGCCATTTTCACTGACCGTGCAGCGAGGAATCCATCCCAGAAAAGAGCGGGGAGCCATTTTTTTTTACCCGGCGGCCATTTTGAAACCGCCGATCAGCTGGCGGAAAATCGTCATTTTGTGAGAATTGGTTCCCAAAGCAGAGAACCGGTCATCACAAAGTGAAAAATACCCATTTAAAACATTGTAAAGTGATCGCTTTTGCGATTGCAAAAAGTTCATAATGCGATTTCGTCGTTAAACGGGGCGCTCGTCTTGCGAGGCACCACTATAGCTGGCTGGAGGTTGATTCAGCTTTCCATCCTTCTGAGAGCTGGCTGGAGGTTGATTCAGCTTTCTATCCTTCTGAGGTCAGTCAATTGAGTGCCCAGTTTGAAGGGGGGGGAATGTGTAACCTGCATAATTAAATTGTAAACGAGCCAAAGAGTACTTGAAGTGCTATGAAGCAGTATAAAAGCAGCACGCTTTGCTTCACTAACCATGCCACCTTTTAGCACCCTTGCAATTTGTCTCGTATGATTTGAACAACTGGCCCCACCCTTACTTTCCTTGCCTTCTTCCATCAATGCAAGGCTCAGCTGAAGGTCCGCTGCACCCGTTGCCAAGGCCAGGCTCAAATCACACATAACCAGAAAAGTTTCTTTCCTGCTATTTCAACATTTGCCCTCAAGAAACGTAGTTCCTTCAAAGACGCAGTGCCCCAGCAATCAGACTTGCCAACTAATCCTGTTAACCTCTGAGTGAACCAGTCACAAAACCAAAGCAGCTGATCCTTTTGCCCTCCAGAAACGTAGTTCCTTCAAAGATGCAGTGCCCCAGCAATCTGACTTGCCAACTAATCCCGTTTACCTCTGAGTGACCAGTCACAAAACCAAAGCAGCTGATCCTGGACACACACAGAGGGAGGCTGGAAATATTTCAGGATCGGTGCCTCTCTAGCCGTCCGGTGGGCAAGAGAGACAAGAGTGAAAACTGATTTTACTCAGAAACGTAGTTCCTTCAAAGATGCAGTGCCCCAGCAATCTGACTTGCCAACTAATCCCGTTTACCTCTGAGTGACCAGTCACAAAACCAAAGCAGCTGATCCTGGACACACACAGAGGGAGGCTGGAAATATTTCAGGATCGGTGCCTCTCTAGCCGTCCGGTGGGCAAGAGAGACAAGAGTGAAAACTGATTTTACTGCTTGGAAATGAAGTGGGAAAATCCTTTCCACAGGAAGAGATTGGGAGACTCTCAGCCCCCACGGAGTAAAATGATCCTGCAGGTCTGCTCATTACGTTCCTAGTAACCTGACTTTCTAGTGTGAATCATCTTTCCATCATCTCATGAAATAAAAGGACAGGCAGTGAAGTGGTGTGCCGTCACAAAAGGGATGAGAAAACTTTTCTACTATCTGAAGGCCGTTGTTCTATGTCCCCCCCCCC